ATGTATAACTAATTCTCTTTTCCTCGAGACACAGACTTCACGACGACAGGATGTCCTCATCTTCGCGCTACGCGGTAATCCTTCTATTTACTAGTCCTGAGCCGCGCATTGTGTAACTCTATCAGGAAATTCTTCTCAAAGTTTCAGGTGACCATACTAGACCCACGCTATCAGTCTTCTACGGAGCCAAATTCTGGCCTACTACGGTATGTAGAGTATTTTGTATCTCCACGCTATTTAGCCATCTCATCCCTACACTCTTGACTCTTTCCATTTAATATAGCGTGCGTTGCGCCGAGTTTACCACTGAGCACCTGGGAAATTCCATCCCGATGCCCAACCTTCCGCACGGGTTTTTTCCACCGGAGCGGATGTCCATTCATCTTCCGAATGGATCTCCTTCACGCGCTGACTGCCATAGGGTATGTGCTGTCTACCTGTTTAATTATTTCACTCATAATTCATTATATAATTTATTTAAGCTCATGTCAGCGCCCCGGATGTTTTGAGTGCGCTCTTCCCGACGCCATTTCCTACGTCGTTTGAGGATGTCTTTTGGTGACTGAGTAATCCTTAATACAAATTTATACAAAACTATTATATACCCTTACTTATTTGCGTTATTTTCCTCCTCCATCCAGGCAACCCGTCGCAGTCTATGCCTTCATGGAAAAATTGTCTTTACTGTCCACGGTAACCTAGTCATATCTTTTTCCATTTACTGTCGCTGTTTACCTAATTCCACCCTCTCTTTTCTTAGGAGAGCCAACACCTCGTGTTACGAAAACTGATCGACATGGTCAACGATGATGAAGAGTTAGTAATCGTACGTATCAGCTTAATATTTCCGCTTGCTTTGTCTCCCCGCTTGTTTTGACATTCCCGTCCTTGTTTGCTTAATTTTTATTATACTTATTCTTGCTTGCAGCAAATTTACCCCTCTGCCGAATGCGATGCTTTGTCTTATGCCTATCTTATGAACAAAGTACATACTCTTTGCTCTTGAATATGTCACCTTTGTCCCTAATGCGCTTCAATAAAATGCAATACCGCTTAGAACTCTACCTCACGCTTGTTCATTAAACTGACTCATTAGCCTATCCATCATTCCACGAGCCCCATGCTCTGCTTTCCTCCATTTACAAGGTCACCGATCCCGATTGGTTATAACCATTTCTACCAAGAATCAGCTCCTTCCTCCAACACATGATTTCCCCTAGTTTGTGCGACGATCCCTACACCCTTCGCTCACTTTTTGGCACCCTCGCTTCTGATTGGTGCTTGCAATTTTCATTCATTCTCCACTTTGTTTCTACCTTCCACGCTCACTGCTCCATTCCGCGCGCTCCCTCCGCTAATTCTCCGTCAATTACAAGGTCCTCATTCCTGATTGGCTGGGAGTATTCTTTCTCAAAAATCAACAATTTCCTCTTCTACATGGTTTCCTCTCACTAGCACTACGATCCTACCATTTTCCACTCATTTATATTGCCCTCGCTTCTGATTGGTACATACGATTTTCATTCGTTTTCCTCTTTGACTTACCACCTACACTCATTGCTCCATTCTGTGCGCTCATTCCCCCAATTTTACACCACTTTCTTATGCATAAGAAAATGGGCCAATGAAATTCCTTATGCACATGCTTTATGCGTTATGCAAAAGTGTGTTTTTCGCCTAAAGCGGGGAGCACAGACTTTTGCATAACGCATAAACCATATACATAAAGAATTTGATTGGTCCATTGACTCATGCATAAGAAAATGGGCCAATGAAATTCCTTATGCACATGCTTTATGCGTTATGCAAAAGTCTGTGCTCCCCGCTTTAGTCTCCTTATTCTTACTTCATGGATTCGCGCACCCATAAATTTTGGAGAGTAAAGCGGGGAGCACAGACTTTTGCATAACGCATAAACCATATACATAAAGAATTTGATTGGTCCATTGACTCATGCATAAGAAAATGGACCAATAAAATTCCTTATGCACATGCTTTATGCGTTATGCAAAAGTGTGTTGGGGTTCTAAAGCGGGGAGCACAGACTTTTGCATAACGCATAAAGCATGTGCATAAGGAATTTCATTGGTCCATTTTCTTATGCATGAATCAATGGACCAATCAAATTCTTTATGTATATGGTTTATGCGTTATGCAAAAGTCTGTGCTCCCCGCTTAATGCCTAGTTCACACTAGGCGCGATGAGCGATGCGCGACGAGCGATACCAATAAGAACTCTTCTTTACTTCGTCGTGTGAGCTAAAGCAAAGTTTTTATTGGTTATCGCTCGTCGTTCATCGCCCATCGCATCCAGGCTATCTTCCCATAGTCCCTTTGCCAGTCAGTAAAATAATATTACTAGGGTGACGTCATCTTACTGACTGGAGAAGTGTTCCCATTCTCGCCAGTAAAAAGTGACGTCAGGATTTGTTGCGTTTCTATGCCCTACGCTTTCTACAGTTTTCGTTTCGGTAATTATATAGAATACGGGCCTCACCTCCGATTTTGATCTAATTAGGCTCATTCGACGCGTTTTCACTCAAAATGAAAGAATCCGGAAGAAATTTGTGGCGCTCGACCTCGTGAACCGAGATATTAAGCGTTAAAGTTCGAGATTTTAGAGGTTAAGGTATCTGTCACTGCTTTAAAAATAACAAAATTACTGCTTTAGAAACACAAAAACACTGCTTTAAAAATACAAATTCACTGCTTAAAATAGGTATCTCTAACTTTCGTATTATTTATTTTTAACTATAAATTAACTTACTAAACACAAGCTGACAGCACCATATGTGTCATCTGTCACGCGCGTATTCTATTAGAATAGGTTATGGTACATGTTTATGGAACGCAGATGTGCGATCCATACCCCAGCCAATCAGAATCACCCATAGTCACGTGACGAGTTGGCGAGTCTCTCCTTATAGGGTCTCTAGTGTGAATTAGGGGTGCGATCCACTAGGGTTTCTAGTATGAATTAGGGGTGCGATCCACTAGACGCTTCAAACGCTTCGAAGTGCTTCAGATGTGATCCACTAGACCCTTCGAAGCGATTCTATAGCAGATACGACGTCATATATTTTATTACGTCATAGGTTTTCGCTTCCAGCGTGCTGCAAATGCTTCTGCCGAAAGGTACTTTTTCATGCGCAGCACGCTGCAGCAGCAATTCGTTACTATTGGTTAAGAATTTTATGTAAGCTAGATGACGTACTTCCGGCGCAAATACATTTTGCCGCAGTTCGTTGAAGTTGAACCGAACGAACAGCAAGCATGAAAAAGCACCTGAAGAGGTAGTACGGCTGAAGCGATATTTTGAATGCACAAAAGCGCGGGAAATAATCAGAAATATCAATTAACTATAACCTGTGTTTCGTGATTTCGTTTGGTTTTAACGTTTTATATTGATCGAAATTAAAAGTAATGCCGATTATACAATTAATAGATGTTAATACCGGAGATATTCATACTTTAGAAGTTTCCGAAGAAGATGCAAGAAAGGTTAATGAAGGTAAGAATGTATAATATAACCACGTAATGCCACGTTCGTCTACATATTAACATGAATTATGTCTTCCGCAGCCTAGGAATACGATGGTTACGAGATTTTTTAGCAGGTTATGTTCAATAATAACGCTTCCAACACTTCACGATTGATCCACTTGTGTAGTATTGGCAACGTTAGTAATGCTAACGGATCACTCTATCGGAAGTATTTGTAGCAATAGCGTCTGAAGCGTTTGAAGTGTCTAGTGGATCGCATCCTAGGCATAACGCACATGAAATGCATAAAGGTTGATTTATACTGGCCGTAAACTGTTAACTTATGCCGTAATCTGTAAAAATTGACCAATCACAGTCGAATGAGAGGGGAATAATCGATTATAATTGGTCAATTTTTACAGATTACAGCATAAGTTAACAGATTACGGCCAGTATAATCCAACCTTAAGAACGTTCACCGGCTAATCGATTTCTATACAAAATACTTCAAATTTTAACTACATGCTATTAATATCATTATCGATGTGTCTTCCAAAATTCAGAAAATTTAGCGGTACCGAATTCGAGTTATTAATTTTCAAAGTTGCAGCTTTTAACATGTAAGGTATAGCCCAAGCGTGCGCTCAAGTGACATTTCAATTCATAGCGACTGTGATATCTATACGATTGTTCTAAAAAATTAGGATATGATGCAGGATGATGCTAGAAATAACATGAAAAAAAAACGGAGATCCGTAGCGGTGCCGTTTTTGAGTTATCGAAGTTCGAAGTGGTGTATCCGACAGACTTGAAGTAAGTCGCCGCATGGAAGGAGAGCCGTTGCTATGAGACGGGTCCCCACTTTTCTCAACAGACTAGTGTGCGTGTATACATACAAGGCATCGAACCCCGTTTGCTTGTGCGTGAGTACACTCAGCAGAAAAAGTATTGGCATGGGAAGCGGAGTGGGGAGAGACATGCGCTATGCACCGAGAAGCGAGCGAGCAGTAAACTTTTGGCTACGATTGTAGCCGGTGAACGTCCTTAAG